TTTAGATTTTTTGCATTTCCTTGCCATTATTAAATAATAATATTTATACCGTATACATCTGCATAATTCCGAAGTGAATATCGTTTATGTACAAAAGCTAAAATTGTAACCACCCGAAAATTATTTGGCAACACGTAATCATCTCGAATGAAATCTCCGCGATTTACTTCGTGGAACGGTATTGTAAAAAAAAAAAAAAAAAAAAAAAAAAAAAAATGAACAACTACAGTTAAGTTATTAAAAATAAAAATAAAACAACGATCTAGGATATATTTTCAAAGCGGCTCCTAATATGTTTTCGGATGAGTTCCAAATTCGTCCAAAAAGTAATTTACCTAATAAAGGTTAATTTACGTATGCTATAAATCATTTTTATATTATTTTTTTTCTCGTAGTGGAAAATGTATTTATTATTATTTTTTAAATCTTTTTTTTTTTCTTAACATAGTATTTTATTAATATCATATTTTATTATATGGTCAAAAAGTCCTTAGTCTTCCCTCAGGTGTAGAAAACCCGACCGACTGAAAATATAAAATACACCGAGTAATTCGGTATTTTGACCAAAAAATCATTGATTTTTCATGCGATTGTGAATTAAAAAAAACAGTAAAATTCTAACTTAAAAAGACGTTATACACCCATCTACTGTTGACTGATGGTCTCAGTCCAACTATGTACTGGGTAACATGCTGTAATAGAATACAAATAAATTGAATAAATAGGGATATAGGTGAAGGATAAGGGAAGAAGGGGAAATGTAAAAGATTTGAGGTCGGGTATGGAGTTATAGGTATAAGTATATTAATATTTGTATGTATGACGTGTGTGTGTGGGATTTTATCGATTCCACCGACTATCGACTCCGACGACCATTTGTAAAACACTGAATTTTGTTCAATAAATTAAAGAAGAAATGTATACACAGTAAACTGCACTGCAGACATATATAATCAAATATTTAATATAAATATAGACAAATCGGGCAATATAGATATTATTATATATGTATAGGTATTAATTAGGTCTCGTTTAAAATTAATAAATATTTAGTAACGGTTGTAATCTTATGTGCGCTTTATGTTATGCGATGTAAAAATGAATTTTAAAGTAATTTTTAATGAACGGAAAAATTAATTGATTTTATACAAAATTTTTAAATTTTATAATAAAGCATATGTAAAATTAAAAATAAATAAAAGCCAAGCATTGATTAATTAATTAATTTTATGTTGATGCATAAATGTTGTATTTATATATTTATTTGCATTATTTACTAATAATATTTAATGAAACAAAATATTTAGAAAATGTTACTGAAAAAAAAAATAAGAATTTTCCAATTTTACTTTTAAAATAATAAGACTAAATATTTTGTTTCATTATGTAGATGGCCATTTATTACATATTGCATAAAATATTTATTATTTATTCATAAGACAAAAAAGAAAACAAGTAATAATGTTTATGATAATTATAACAATTAATAAAATAGAGCATTAATAAGGCTACATCAGCAAGACAATAAGCATAACAATGACAATAATAACAACAATGTATATAAATACCTATATATATATATATTACAGTTAAAACTCAAAATCCGTTAAAACTAATTATCTCAACTTAACCTCAAATCTCAATTCTAGTTGTGACTAGTTAAAACTAGAATTAACTACAAATTTAAATAAGTCAGTCAAAACTAGATTTACTGAAACGCATGTATTCCAACCTTCACTACCTAAAACGCATGCAATTACATGCAATCTATAAATATCACTCCATAAATTCGACTGGCCGGCTATCAATTCAATTAAGATAACTTTAACCAGTCATCCATCATTATCCATATCACTTTTAGATATGATAACTTCGACCGTCTGTATCTAGCCGTCTGGCCAATGTTGTGAGAATCTTTTCAGCGCAAAGTGCATAAGTCAACCTGTCCTTTTTCTGGCATATAGACAACCGTTTTTCAGGTTGTGTAAAGCCGTCCATGTACCGGACTATTGTACATATTTTTTTTAAGAAATAAACACAATCTATGGTTACATAATAGTGACAACAAGCACAATTACCAGGTACATGGGGTAGGGAGAATCAAAAAGCCCGCCTTAAGTTATCTGAAACTACTGTATAGGTTCGGGAAAAAAATTATGGTACGCCTAGCGTAGAGGAACACGTGCAAGCCTATATTAAGTAGTAGTCAAAATGCATGGAACCTAATACCTACCCAACACAGATGAGATCGAGTAGAAATGCTGTACCGAAATATCTTATAGCCCCTCACTTTTGATATACGGGCATACACCGGTCTTATTCAAGTTTTAATACGAACAGAATACTTTTTATGACGTTTTGAAGACTTCTTATATACTAGATGATCCATTGACACTCATTATCTCGGAATCTATTAACTTTTTTCGGAATTTATTTTATAGAACATTTAAGAAACATCATTTTTGATTTCTGTTGAGCCATTAACGAGATATTCCATTTTTAAGTTTGGGATGGAAGAAAGCAGTAGAGTATTATTTGTGTGGCGGTACGGCGCGTGGCGTGTTAATAATGCACCAACCAAAACTCAAAAGTGGAATATCTCGTCAACGTCAACAGAAATCAAACATGATGTTTCTTAAATGTTCTAGAAATCAAAAACCGAAAAAGTTAATAAATGTCAACATTAAAATTTATTTTAAATAATACCCCATCTATTTATGGAATTTTTAATATAGGTTGCCATTTAAAATCAAAAGTTGACAGTGGTTTTACCCCAAAAATAAGGGTGACAAAAAAAAACATAAATATAAATTTGTAGAGCTGATTGTTTTTAAATTTTTTAGAAAACAAATTCCGAAAAAAGTTAATACATTCTGAGATAATGAGTGTACCCACTTAAATGAATCATACGGTATAAGTATATAATTTATAACTATTATCGTTTATTTTACATAGTAGTTATTTAATATATAACCAATTGCAGTTTTTAAGTGATTAATGATCGCGTTCACATGATCAGCATACAAATTGAAAAAAAAAAAATAAAATTGCAGTACAAAATGTATACACAACTGTTTGATATCGTGTCTCCACGATTTTTACACAATGTATGTAAACAAAATATTTGATTACATGAAAACAGAAATATTCGTATTTGGTCAACAGATCACATATCACGTTAGTGTTGTTAGGCGTTTGATCATAGATAGATTTTATTTATTTATTCGTATGATCTTATGCAAGTAATAAAAATATAATTAACAAACATAAATCAATATTTTAAATGATGATGACAGCACGCACAGCTTGCACGTAGCCCATTTTGCATATGACGTAGCGTTTTCTTTTCATGCCGAATCAATATCATTAACCCCGTGGTGTACAAGTCCTGTAGATCATCACAGCCGTTCCAATGAAGTAACAATAGATAGATAAGATTATCTTATTACAATGAGAAAAAAATTGTTAGTATTGTTAACAAGTTTTTTTCTTATATTATTTAATGATTGCGTGTTGAATATTTTTATGGATTTATATTTTGTTTCTGGTTTTTAAATCTGCCGGATGACTTACATATCATTCTGTGAGATATTAACACTTATGCCGAAACTTATACACTTCGCTACCTATAGACCACCCATGGCCCACAGTCATATGTGTTTTCTTGTTAGGAAGTTGAGCGGTTTTCTGTTTCCATATGGAAAGCTATAGTGTTGAAAGACGAAGTTGTTCCAAATGTCCACACCGAAAAGGATCCAATGATTCAAATTGACGTGTATCGGAAAGAGAATAATTTTTTTGTAGAATAAATCGACCTTGATCAACCTATGGACACCCGAAATTCCCTTACTAGAGTACTATGTTGCCAATTTAGCACATAGTTAGTGCAACTCACTAATTTTCCTCACATGTATTGTTCGATAATGGTCGAATACCGTACCAAGTGCGGTCGGTTGGGTTTTTTTCCGATGCAGATTAAAAATAGAAAGACATTATGGCTTAGATCCTTGAATTTAACAAAATAGAATTTGTGTTTGATAATAGTGTTTTGACTATAATAAAAAGGGAGAAATGGGTAAGATTGGGTACATTTTTCATTCTTATGTTGTGGGGTGGTAATATTTGTAAGTTAATAAACAGTGAATGTAAAGATAATTTTTAAAATTTTTTTTAGGCATTAATAATATGGCATAATGCCAAAGTAAGAACTTAGAAAACTATTTATATTAAATAGTTTTCTATATAATATTATGAACAGTTTCTTTCAAATAATTTATGAATAAAATAGGTAATAATTAAGTATAGCAAAAAATAATGTAGATTCTAGTTTTGGGTATACCTATCTAATTAGATGTTGTAAGTAATATTAATTATGTAACCTATTTTATACAAAGTAAACAAATCGATTTAATCAATAATCAATAGAAATATAGCAATATATACTGCAGCTAAAGTTATTGTTTGTTTTATCGGATTAAATTTTATTTTGGATAGTACAGAGTTCTGTTTTTTTATTTAGTATTTGTGTATACGTTTAAACTGAAATAACAGTATCATTTTTTTGAAAAATATCAGGATTTTTTTTTTTATTATTATTCGAATAATATTACGGTTTCGGTAACTTAAAAGGTGTCGGATATCGAGTCCGGAATACATCAGGTCAGGGTTGTATTATTCTCGAAGATCTTGAAACGTATTAATAGTGTTTCACCAAAAATACGAAAATCTCAAAACATTCTCGATAAGATGATAAACACGCCTTCCGGTACTGACATCAATAATTGCACCAATAAAGCAGGAAGATTACCAAAGAAAAAAAAAAATAGGAAACTTGATAATAGATCGGCTTCGTGTATTTAATGGCAACATGGAAAACACAAATCCAACAAAATCAAAGAACAGTCAGTTCAAGAACCTGATTTGATTTTAAGTGGTAGTCACCTTGGCCGTGTACCTCTTACTATGATACAGAAACTTTGCGTGAATTGCCTTCCCGCCGCATGGTTAATTCTGGTAGAAATCACTGTGCACGCTGGTATTGGCATGGTCAAATTATAACACAAAATGATCAAGGCAGCGCCGCTTTGTTAACAGAACAGCTAAATACTGAACAACGTCTGCAATTAAGAATTGATCAAGGGCACGAACTACCTGCTTTCTGGAATTTATTTAAAAGAAAAGCTATTGTTTATACAAGAAAAATAAATCAAACTCCAGAAACTTGGCGTTTGTTCATGTTCCACGGAGCGAATGTAAATGAATTCCATTTAATTGAAGTACCGTGTTCTACAATACAATTACATAATTAAACATCGAAAATCATCAAAAATCCACCTTTGACGGACAAATGTGTTCTAATGTGATATTTGAATCGTGTAAATAATAGTAATAACAATAATTATAATAGTTTTCTTTTCCGTGGAAACCTTTAAATAAACAAAATCGTATATAAATAAAACAATGTCGGGTTAGTTACATTATTTACAACTCAAGAACAACTGGACCGATTTTGATGATCACGTGATATTTTCCGACTAATTTCTAATAATAATTAATCACCATTTTTATCATCCCCTGTTACCGAGGTAACACAAATCAACAAAACAAATTGTATTTATTATATTATAGGCTAAATTATTTGGTGTTGCTTGGGTATGTATATAAATATATAAGCGAAAATACTAAAATCGCGATTAAAAATTAGTGGATGTGGGTTAGAGGGTGAAAAATACTTTACGACCTATTCACAGACCTATTAAATACAAAAATGTCATTAAAATCAGTCATGCCGTTTCAGTGAAGTGCGACCACAAACATGTGACACGAGAATTTTATATATAAGACATACTGATTTTTTTTCAACGTGCGACTATCGTTATTTTTACGATATATATAGTCATTAATTATATTTTTGTATGAATTTAAAAAAAAAATGTTTTGGATTATAATTATTATTATTAATTTAAATACATTTTAAAGATACACTATAATTTTTTTACACATACATATACAATGAGATGATGTAAAAAGTTGCTAAAATAACATTATTTATATCAATATAATATTTTTCCTCAATGTTTAGTTTGCTGACATGTTTTTAATAACTTGTAACACTTTTTATACACATTTTTAAAAAAACTGAGTTTTATGATTTTTACTATAACATTATGCTCTGTTTTTTTGAGGCTGTGATTCTTTTTAATGGCAATAATTTTTACTCTAAAGATTTTAATATATTTTCATATTTTTTTTATGAATTTGTAAATCAAAAATAACAAGCTCGACTTAATAAATTTCGTGTGTACATTAAACTGTTTTAATGTATTTTTGATATTCAATTGCATATATTGATCAATTTGTATCTGAATTCTCACGTTTCTAATTCTTAAATAAATTAGTTGTAGTTTCTTCTATACTTTATATTATTTTTTAAAAAAATACTACTTTTATTATTAAGTTTATTTATTGCTTTCTTCAATTAATTGATAACAATTTACTTAATGCATTTAATAATGTATTTTATTCAATAATTATTATTATTGAAATGTTTATTTTTTTTTAACAATTTTTTTCTACAAAACTTTACAAACACATTCGACTGTTGTCATTTTATACAATTTAATCATTTTAATAAATTTGTCCGTCTGACTATTTACATATGTAAGTATTATTTCAATAACTCAAATAATGTTTATATTATTAACAAGTGTGCACTGAAAAAATTGTCAAATAAACCAAATTAATTAGAAAAAAAAAAATTCTACTTTAATTTTGTTATTTCTTTGTATGCTGATTACGAAAACGTAATCACCATTTGAAAAACTTGGTTGCAATTTGTAATATAATAATTAATAACTATGTAAAATAAAAAATCATGGTTACACAGCAGAATTACCAATTCTTTCATAAAAATATCAGTGTTGTCACATAAATACGGCACACGTTAATTCACAGTATTAATTACACATGTCACCCACATAAGAGCGTCCACGAAAGCAAAGTGGCAAAGTGAGTCATCGGTGTGGGAGACCGCGGGGGGAAAAAAACGCCATTCGTATCACCAATTGAGTCACTTCTCTAGGCTCTCTTCGATGAAGCACACTTTTTTTTTCACTGTAACGTGCCAACGCAGGAAAACGATGTAGAAAAGGAAATTTGAAATATTTAACTTACATGTCGAGTTAAAATAATAAATTTATATTTCACATAAAATACAAGTCCAATGAATATCAACAATATATTGTCTTCAAAATTACTTTAAGTACAAATAATTAATTAAATCATCAAAAATATTCTAATTTCAAATTAATGCACAAATAAATAAAACTCCAAATAAAATATAAAATAGTGTGCTTGCTATGTATCGTGGTGAACACGTCTGATTAAACGATGTTTCGGGCGACGTCAAATATGCTAATTATGTTCCCCGCAACCCGTTGTTCATAATTCAAAGTATTTTGTTCATATTAAAATTACAATAAGACCGGCGTATGCCCGAGTATCAAGACTGAGGGGCTATAAGATATGTTGGTACAGCATTTCTACTCGGTCCCATCTGTGTCGGGTAGGTATTAAGTTCCATGCGTTTTGACTACTACTTAATATAGGCTCGCACGTGTTCCTCTACGCTAGGCGTGTGGGCATGTAACATTACTCACTCCACCATATCTTTTTCCCGAACCTATACAATACTCTCAGATACTCTAAGGTGGGCTGCTGTATTTGGTTCTCCCTATCCTAAATACCTCGTAATTGTGTTTGTTTTCACTAGATTGTGTTTATTTCTTAAAAAAATAAAAACAAATATAATATCCCGGTAAGTAGACGACACTACACATCCTGAAAAACGGTTGTCTATACGCCTGAAAAAGGACAAGCTAACATATGCTCTTTGTGATTAAAAGATTCGAACACCATTGACCAGACGACTATATACAACTCGTTACCGAATAAATAGAATAAAAATAAGAATAAATAGACAAAACGAAATAATAACTTCCTATGAGAGACAATAGCCATCGTCAATAAATTTAATAGAGGTACGTGTTTAAATCGATACGATATATACGTACATATATCACTAAAATAAATGCACTATACAATCCTTACGACCGCACACACACATAGAACCATTTACACACACACACACACACACACACACACACTACCAATTTTATCAACATATTAAGCTAAGAGCCTATTTAGGTAAGTTCGCCCGCAGAAACTTAAACCAGGGGGGGAGGGCAAAGTCAAAAGTATAATAGTTTTTTTTACAACTTACAAGTAATCATAGCTTAGGCTTAAATATTCGAATCATGCAAGTAATAAAACAATTAATATTTAATATTAACTAAAATAGAGGGGGCTTATGCCCCCTGGTACCCCTCTGCGGGCGCCCTTGTACTAAGGGTCACATCCAACCGAATACGCGTTGTGGCAATACTGCTGTCGATCATCTTATCGATAGATAATCGATTATCGTGCGTTCACGTTATACGTCATACATACGAATATTAATATACCTATACCTATAATTCTATACTCGAACTCAACTCTGTTCCCCTTTTTTCCATTTCCTTCTCATATCTCCCTATTCATTCAATTTATTTTTCTTCTATTACAATTCAAAAACAATGCTTAGGCAAAATAAGAAAAACTAGTTTAATTTTGATTTCAGATTATAAGTACTGATTATGAAATTTATAGAGAACAATATTTTAAAGGGAATACCATAGATTTATTGCATTATTTAAAATATACAACTCGATTAAAAGATATAAAAACTTTCTTTTATTTTTTTATTTTTAAATAACTTTAATTGTAACTTTAACAGTTGATTATTCATAAAACATTTTAACACCGTAGATACGAGTCTAAAAAGTCCGGTTAAATGTAATTTTTGTGTGATAGTGATGATTGTGTACAAAAAACAAATGTGTTTATCGGATATTTGTCACAAGTTATTTATAAAGTAATAAAGTAGACGCAATAAACGCGAGAAAAAGAATATAACCATCGCCCGGCACTTTACGTAATACGTGAATAAAGAAAAAAATCTGTTATTTTTAGTTAAATAATTAAAATAAACCAAACGTCTCTGACAAAAGAAAAAAAATGTACGACTTAACGGATAGTTTAATATTTTAACTAAACAATGGTGACGATGCGGTACAAAAAATAAAATACGGTCCAGACTGATGTTATAGATACGCCAAAAATAATATATAAATAAACATGGTAGGTACGCTACAAGAAAATAATATTGTATTATTTTAAACGTATTGTCAAGATAGGAAAATGTAGTTATTCATGTAACCTACGTGAGTACACAAATATAACTTTTTGTGCAACAATCTTTATTGTGACAATAATGATCTTTACTTTAGATTTTTGAATTATTAGAATCAGAACATAACTTTATTATTTTATTCTATCATTGTTGAATAGACAGGTTATAATTCAGTGGCGTATTTACGGGGGGGGGGCATAGGAGTCTGAATCCCCCCATTGATCAAATTTTACCTATCTAAACATCCGTGCAAGTATAAGTTGTAATTACATAATATGTTATTTTTTTTCGTAATCATGAAAAAAAATGTAATCATAATAGTTATGAATGGTTGCCATATAAGGTGCAGTGATAAAATTCCTATACGAGAACAAGCTAATTGATATTCGTTTTTAACCACATATATATATTATGAATAATTTTCGTTTGTCAGCATGATTATATATGGATTCCATTTATAATTGTGTCTGTTAATTTATCTGTTATCAATATTCATATTTCAAACATCGTGATAATTTTTGCTAATCATTTTTTTTATGCTAACCAACGCTCTCTAAACTCGTACACTCGGTATTAATTTGTTTGGAACTATAGAAGTTTTATATTTATTAGTTGTTTGATTTTTGTATAATAAAATCTAATATGTTTAAAATAACAAATTTGTTCACTAAGATGACACCTACCACAACCACGTCCACGTGTGCACCTGTTAGTAGTGAGACAGTGAATATGAAAAGATTACACAATAATAAAGACAATATGCAAATAAAAATAAAAACGACGTCCTAGGATAATGGGGATGAGTGAAGCCACTGTTATAGATGATTCAATCTATACCTGTAAGCAACTATAAATCATTACTTACGAAAAAACGATTCTGAGTTGATTTCAGTTGATAATGATGCTTTGTCAACAATATGCCATTTTTCAGTAAAATAATTAAATAGACTTTATATATTTTCTTTAATAATATTTGATTAATGTTGTATCAATTTTCCAGCTATCTTACGATTTTCCCGG